ATCGCAAACATGAGGTGCAAAAATTTGTACACCATATCCGGATTTCGACAATTAATGTCTCTTCAGTGATGTTAGGAATCGAAACGGTATTTGGAAGGCCATATAATTTACCTCAATTTGGGATTGACTCTTGAATTTTGAAGAGTCGAAATAGGATGAACGGATCATATAAACCCGAAGGCAAATATAATACAAGCCTAAACGAAAAAATATAAACAAGTCTAAATTGAAAACAACGTTCAAACCTATGATTGCGTTGGATAAAAACCGCAATTTCTATACGTGTGCATGCAAAACAAATTTCTTTGTAGAGGGGTCTAAATACAGCACAAACAACATTATATATATATATATATATATTCTACCACTGCATCGAGTGTGATACGATATTTATCCACTCGAGACAGTTAAATTTTCAAATTTAAAACGCGAGGCTTGCCGAGCGTTTTAAATATTTAAAATTTAACTGTCGAGATTGGATAAATATCGTATTACACGAGATTTGGTGGTAGAATCTGTTTCTCTAATGATTTTCAAACAATACGCAGGCAAACTTATTCCTTCTTTGCGACTGATCTGCAAAAAGATGTGTTCTTTCTATGTGACGTCATCAGGCATGGTCGCCTTTTTTCATGCCGTCACAATAGGAAATTCAGAGGAAAACAAGAAATTTCGACGTCATAATCGGATTTTAACCAATGAAGAACTGAGATCAAACGAACCACACGTTGATTAAAATTTTTTTTTTATACAATGGGTGCAGAAAGGGATAAATTGACGAAGAATTAGAGAAATATATATACCAACTTCGACGGACTTATCATCGACGTCATAATGTTTAAACCGACGGTGATAAGTTTGGCCCGAGCTTATTAAGTCAACTCCCGATTTACCGAGGAAAGAAAGAAACAGTTCTATGATGAAAAACAAACAAATGCAATACCCAAAATCGATTATCAGATTTTCATCAGATTGATATCGTGAATATCAGCTTCTCGACACAAAATGAAGCATTTTTGAACTCATTCGCTGCAATCATTCGACATTTTTTTATAGTGTGACTCGAAGATGATATTTTACACAATCTATTAATATGCAGAAATAGATAATCGATACACATTCGACAGTTACTTTTTGAATGGTCAACCTTGAAAATTGTGAAAATTGAACTGTCTTGATTGGAGAAATATTTTTCTTATGGTTATCTTTTCTTGCATGAAGAGATATGTCTCGTATCACACTGGACGGAGTGTTATATGAATAAATGATACGAAAAATGCATTTATTTGGTTGGCCTATCCTGCAATATATAACAAAATTGCGGCACTTTCATTGGTTATTAGTAAGGTCACTGATGACTTTTAAAGGTCATATTTCCACTTGGAAACGAAGATTTGTTATTTCTTAAATTATATAAAAAAAAGTTGCAAAATTGGAAATATTTCCTCAGGAAAAAGATCATGTTTGCCATGAGAGAAATAGGTTTAACATCTCGTTGGGGTTGGATACCGCTTGATATCAACTATCGTTATTTAATTTCAATAGCACTGATAAACTCGACGAAGGCTCGTTTATTTTTACATTGAAATTAAACAATTCGAATTGATAGCAAGAATATACATTGTTATAAATCATTCCATACACTTCTGATTTGTTTTTGTTTCGTGTACACTAGTCTGGTTATCTTTTGCACATGTTTAGTATTATTGAGTTTCATTTTTAATGTGTATTCTTTTATCCAGGAACTAATACTATTGGTCAACCCAGATTTATCTTAATTTCAATGAATTTTTCTACTACTACTTCCAGTGTGATACGATGTTCATCCTCCAAGTTAGATTTTCAATTTTTAAAAAAGGCAGTATTTTTATACGTGAGTCATCACTGTAGCATGGTCGCCTTTTTTACCTTTTTTTCACATAATACATATATACCTCTGAAGAAATCCTAATAACATATAAACAGCATGACGTGGTCTTACAGTCAATGCAACACAACGTTTTCAAAATAAGATAAGAAGTAAGCACATATAATGCCATTAACTAACAAACTCTATTGAGGTCAAGTTTAGATATGGAACTTTATAACTTACAATCATTCAATTCGCTAAAAAAAGGTTGACCTATTTACATTACCCGAGCAACGAACCTAGTCACGAAGACTTTCCATGATCACTATATCTCTGAATGAAGTCAAGGTCCGATGAATCCTTCGACAAACATGTTTACCTTGAAATAATTATAGTTGTTCTGTAAATCGTAATAATACAAAAATAGACTGGAAATAGCTTAACCCAGTCATTGAACCACGAAAATGAGGTCATAGAAAAGTGACATATACCTCATCGAGAACATACGACATGTGTCTTCAAACAAATTATAAATTTTCTAGGTCTTCTACCTTATTAAATATAAAGCATTATACAAATAGTTTAACCCGTCAGTGACGCCGGATTAGCATCTCTATGTTTATAATTCCACTGTTTAAACATATTGATAGTTTAATCAATATTTGATTGGTTGAGACTATCCCACGTGTCATTGAACAAATCTTCATATTCCATTCTGAGGATCATATTCCCCTCTGAAATGTCGGGATTACTTCGTGCGACGTTACGCGCGGTTAATTCACATAACGTTTTTAACTTCGTATTCTTCTTAAAATAGCGATAGCAAAAATCATTATCATGTTTCAAATTTATTTCAGACGATAAAACAAAAAGACTTATAATTAAATTTTGATCCCTACTGTTTCTCAATGGGTATGTCGTGTTTAGTTTGACTTACAAAAACAAGCGGATAAGAAAAAAAATGTATGCAAAATAATATTTAATGCATTGATAGTAAACAAAGCATAGGCAGTGGAATAAAACATTCATTTCCCTTTGCCTCGGGAAATATGAAGATTTGCTCACCCTCGAAAAATCATATTTCCATCGGGCAGAGCCCTCGTGAAATATGAATATTCTTGGGTGAACAAATCTTCATATCTCCCTCCGGCACGGAAAAATAAATGTATAGTATTGTCAGTCGAGGCAAACAAATCTTTGTGCATTCAAAATTTAATTTCTTCGTTATTTTTTGGAATTGGTTGTTAATGGCGGATATACTATTGAACACATTTGGGTACAATTAATTCATCAGCATGAGGCAAAGTTACAAATTCTCCGATTCGTGAATTCAGTAAAAAAAGGACATCAATACCCAACAACATAAAAAAACCAAATACTAAATAATTGATGCAAGCATTGGCATTTACAACAAAACCATCACAAGTTTCTATTAACATTTTTAAATACATTATACAAATTATGACTGTAGGAGGGTCTGGATGGAGGGTGCTTCATTTCTGTATTTTGAAATTTTTTAGGTATTTTTTCTCTATTCTTTTATATTTTTTGCCCATTATTCTCTATTACTTATATTTTAGCACCACATTATTCTCTATTACTTATATTTTAGCACCACATTATTCTCTATTTTTTGCCCTATTTTTCTCTATTCTTAATTTTCCCCCATGTTTCTGTAAATTAGGCCCATTATTCTGTAAATCCCATCCAAACACTCATGTAGGCAACATATCAAAGATGGCGGCTCCATAGATGTCAGGTAGAGTGCATGTTTATCTGCCTTCAGTCAGTCAGGTCCTGTTTAATCCACAAAAAAAATTACAGGCGTCATTTAACGCTTCTCTATCTCACATGATTAAAATAAAATTGCAAGAATATTTTCATAACCAGATGATCCCAATTGACGCAGGGGCGGATCCAGAATTTTCGAAAAAGGAGAGTAATTCCGATGATTGAAGATATAGAAGAAAAAAAGATTTGGACGATTTTATACTAAAAATTTATATATATCGTGAAAAAACATTGGTATTCTTTATTTGTTTTACGCGATCAAATTAAGGGGCGTATCCCCTCTACCCTTCCCCTGGATCCGCCACTGGTACTAACAGGTTGAACTATGTCAATGCCATCAAGGTATAATAAAATAAACAGCTGCGCCATGAGCGCATGATACGCCCGTAGCTTTTTGAAAGAATAAAGTTCAATAACTACTCAATGTCATATCAGAAATTTATAAAAAAAAAAACTAAAGAGAGGTTGTTTTAATAGATATAAACCAGTCACCAAAGTTTCATGAAAACTGCTCAAAGCACTTTTGAGTTATTGTCCGAAAACTGGAAAATCACCCCATTTTATGAATAAAATCCCATAACTCGGAAACGTAAAATCTAAAATTTATAAAAATCGAAAGGGCGCTAATGTCAATAGATATAAACAATTCACCAAAGTTTCATGAAAACTGCTCAAAGTGTTTTTGAGTTCAGTTGTCCGAAAACTGGAAAATCCCCCTTTTTTAATGAAAAAAAACCATAACTCGGAAACGTTAAATCTAAAATTCATAAAAATCGAAAGGGAGCTCACATCAATAGATATAAACAATTCACCAAAGTTTCTTGCAAATTGGAAAAAGTGTTTTTGAGTTATTGTCCGAAAACCGAAAAATTCCCCTCAGTTTTTTAATGAATAAAACCCCACAACTCGGAAACGCAAAATCTAAAATTTATAAAAATCGAAAGGGAGTTCACGTCAATAGATATAAACAATTCACCAAAGTCTCATGCAAATAGGATATAGCTTTTTTGAGTTACTGTCCGACATGTTGACGACGGACGGACGGACGAACTGACAATGGTATACTATAATACGTCCCGTAAACGGGCGTATAAAAACAGGCATTATTCAAAGATTTTAAATGCTATATTATGCATTCGAAATACTATGTGTATGATTTTGAAGCCTTAACTGATTCCTTTTTTTAGTCAATTAATAAAATCTACACCGAACTTTGATTAATAAATCGGTCTCAAATCTGGTCGAGTAACGAACCAGGGGACAGCACTCGTCAGCCTACACCAAACTGTACATGATACTTAATATCAACCCATTTATCTTCCTATTTAAATGTGCTTCGTTTTTCTTTCAGAAGTCATAATGAGGCTGTTACTAGCAATTTCCGTGCTGGTCACGGGAACACTGGCGGTTGTGACTGATCATCAATTTGAAATGCTCGCCAAGAAAGTCGAAGATCTAACTAGACAGCTCATGTTAACAGAACTGTCGATCGGAGAAAGAGCACGTGCCGATTCTGACTCTGGAATCAAACAGATACGTACTACCCAAGATGGTACAAAATCATACTTTACACAAACCCACAGTTATAATTCTGTCTGTTCTATTCATGAACATTCAAATTACGACAGAACTGTCGGAATGGGAGAATTTATTGCTACGATGAATGGTGTAGAATTTAGAACGAGACATAATGATTACAAATTGCGCATGCCCAGCAAAACATCTAAACATTATAACCAACAGGACGATATTCCTTTCCCTCCTGTACCGCCATCCGTACTGGCCAAACACAATCTACAAGAACAAGTTCATGAAATGCAAAACTATTTCCGTGCCTTTGCATTTCAAAATCATAATTTTAGAGACTATAGACCATACTTCAAACCGGTTTTGTGTTATTTAGAGGGTACATGGACAACAAGTACAAAGTCAATTGACGAACCATTTCAAAGCGATCGTCATTCCATCGATGCTGAGAGCTGGTTTGACTTACAAGAAAAGATCCGATTTACATCTTACACTGGAGGAAAACACTACCTGGAGAATTTCTCATACCTTCCAACAACAATCATGAATATGATCAATGGTACTCCCGAGTATGCGCAATGGAACTATAGGATATCATGCCATCCATTGTCATTTGATCTACCTTTATCCGCAATTAAACCAGTTGATGATATGGCAGGAAGGATTGGACACAAAATGAACTTGACAAGATATGCACATACAAGATCAGCAAGATTTACACTTGCTAGAAGATTTGGGAGAGAAAATCATTTCCAATGGGAAGATGGATTCGGTAATTTTAAAGATTCTGCTTATCATAATGGTATTCTCGATAAAATTATGAATGAAATCCCAGGAAAAGACAACTATGGGGCTGTCCTCCACGATAATACGTTTGGAATGGACACATTAGATCCTCATAAAGTAAATGCCACTCTTCTCAATACCGCCTACTATCATCGACGTTTCAAACACGATAAAAAAGGAGCAATGGGTATAAGAGATGTCCATCGTGGATTCTCTGATAGTAACTTGTTCGTTGCTCAGACGTCGAACCCAAAGGTTGCTCCCATGAAAATACATTACTGTGCAAAAAATGAACATACTCACCACAAAGAATGTAAAACTGAAGCAGTCAGGTATACCTACGCTATTCCACTAGAACTTATTTATTTGACTCCTTTATTTAGTTGGAATCCTCACAACCTTAAGTATATAGACAGGAGAGACCGTAGAGGACAACAAGCAATAAGTGAAGGTGGTAAAAGGAATGGCGGTACAACAGTAGATAAAGCATATAATGGTACAAGTTATAAATTGTTCTATAAAACACCCGTCGAATTTTTCCATGGTACAAACGTCGATAAGGATAAAGCCGATACTGATAGAGGAGCAGTGGGTGTACTCGACAGACAAGGTGCTCTTAAGAAAGTAGTTTCGTCCGGTCAACGTATAACACTCCCAGATATTCCTGGTGTTGGAAAGCTTCGACTTAGATACCCCATTATGCCTGTCACTCGGGAAGGTAATCAGGTTGGAAAGGAGCTTGATGCGGTTAAGGACGTATTGAATCACTTGAAAAATTTTGGTGGCTATCTTGATCAAAAACCGAGTGCACTTGCTGGAAGTGGACTAACACAAGCTGACTCACACTTCCGAACATCTGTCACCAACCAAGACCCACCCGGCCATCATTTCCATGAGTTATATATAGACTATGATGACATGCAGGATTTGGCTAAAGGCCTGACAGTAACAGTAGGAACTACAACCGACAACTCACATTCTCATCAACTCGAGATAAGCTATGACGCAAACACACATACATATAAAATACACAAGTGTGATGGCAAAGCTACTTGTTGGGATGGTCACTCAGCTGATCTTTACTCTTTGGATTAAGAAGGTGCTCAATTCTATCAAAAATAAAAATAAAAAGATTAAAGAATTATTTTTTGTAGGCAAGGACTCTAGACAAAACATCACACGGACATTAAAGTGAAGGATGAAAGTACAAATTATACATTACTATTCATACGAAAAACCGGAAGGTCATTTGAAACTTGACAGTTTTCGTTTCAACGTTGAATTTTTCAGTTCAAAATTGACATTTATCAGCTCCAACTTGACATTTCTAAGTTTCAACTTGACATTTTTTACTTCCAAGCTGACAGTTCATACATCAAAGTTGACTTTTCTTGCTTACATTTAGACATTTCTTACTTTTAAAATGACATTTCTCAATTCCAAATTTAAAATTTTCACTTCCAAATTGATATTTTCTGAGTTCCAAGTTTACATTTCTGAACTCTCAGTTGGAACTAAGAAATGTCAACTTGGAAATGAAAAATGCCAAGTTGAAGTGAAAAATGTCTAGTTGGAATATAAAATACACAAGTGTGATGGCAAAGCTACTTGTTGGGATGGTCACTCAGCTGATCTTTACTCTTTGGATTAAGAAGGTGCTCAATTCTATCAAAAATAAAAATAAAAAGATTACAGAATTATTTTTTGTAGGCAAGGACTCTAGACAAAACATCACACGGACATTAAAGTGAAAGATAAAAGTACAAATTATACATTACTATTCATACGAAAAACCGGAAGGTCATTTGAAACTTGACAATTTCGTTTCAACGTTGAATTTTTCAGTTCAAAATTGACATTTATCAGCTCCAACTTGACATTTCTAAGTTTCAACTTGACATTTTTTACTTCCAAGCTGACAGTTCATACATCAAAGTTGACTTATCTTGCTTACATTTAGACATTTCTTACTTTTAAAATGACATTTCTCAATTCCAAATTTAAAATTTTCACTTCCAAATTGATATTATCTGAGTTCCAAGTTTACATTTCTGAACTCTCAGTTGGAACTAAGAAATGTCAACTTGGAAATGAAAAATGCCAAGTTGAAAGTGAAAAATGTCTAGTTGGAAGTGAAAAATGTCATGTTTGAAGTAAAAATGTCAAAATTGAATTGAGAAATTTTCAAAATAGTATGTCCCTACCGGTATTTCGTATATTCAAGATAAGACTTAATAAATGTACTTTGATAACAGCTGACTTCTCAGGGAAGTTCAGTAACACTGTGGTGCATTAACTGCTCATAGGCAATACACTCATCATAGATACCAAGAATAAATTTTAATATGTCAGACGTGCGGTTCGTCTACAAAAGACTCATCAGTGACGCCCAAATCAAAAAAATTAAAAAGGCCAGCTGTGCAGAACTCTTAATTCATGTTGAATATACAAACAACAGGAAAATCGCATGAACATCAAACAGAGCGAGACTGGTGTGTAGGCATGCGCAGGGTCAGCGTCTCCTGATATGCATGCATTTCCATGCGAATCCAGACTGAGTCGTCGCCATTAATCGGTCATTTGCCGCGATTTATAATCTATATTTTGTGTTAGGTTGCACAATTCTACATCTACATCTACATCGTACGACGATCTATCAGCACATTGATGACTATACGTCGGCACATCACAAACAGACACTTATTAAAAGATAACAATTTTATGACTGCAATAATCAAAAAAACAATTTTGTGCAAAAATTAAAAATAAACACATTTACATATATTTACAAACAGGGTAGATACCTAAATATACTGACTTTGGATCAGTATTTTAAACTGATCCAAAGAGTTAACGCTGATGATGTTTTGTGGAAGTGAATTCCAGAGTACAACTGTGAATGGGAAAAAGCTGTACTTAAAGTAATCTGTTCTGGTGCTGAATGTTTGATATTGTAGTGAATTGGTGAATCTGGTGTTTTTGACTAGCTGTGGTGAAAGGTAAAGGTTTGGATCTACTGCTATAAGTTGGTGTGTGATTTTATACATTATTGTTACTCGATTGATTTTTCTGCGAGTTTCAAGTGACTTCCATTTAAGATGTTCAATCATGGAACTACAGGCCTTGCGGTCATAAAACTTTCGAGCACGATTTTCGTACTCAGACTCAGAAATCAACCAATCAAAATCCTGGATTTGGTGTTTGGAGCACAAATTTAGTACTCCGAGTACTGAGTAAAGTTTTATGACCGAGAGCCCTGGTGTTATGGTACCTGTTGGTGATGTAACGTGCTGCCCTTCTTTGTACTTTTTCAATATTTTGTTTTTTTGTTTTTGGGTGTTAGGAGACCAAACTGAAGAGCAGTATTCTAGGTTTGATCGTACCATAGATTTGTAAGCCAAACTTTTTGTTTCTTCCTGATTTATTTTTAAGTTTCTTCTTAAAAAAGCATAAGATCTTATTTGCTTTAGCTGTGATGTTGTTAATATGGGTATCCCATGACATGTTGTTGGATAAGGTGATACCAAGATATTTTGTTGTGTTTACGGATCCTAAAATGTGGCCTTTAAGTACATAGTTGTGTTTGTATGGTGACTGTGATCTTGTTACAGTGAGGGATTTGCATTTTTCTGGGTGGAATTGCATACTCCAAGTTTGTTCCCTTTTGGCTAGGCAGTCTAAGTCATTTTGTAGGATGGTACAATCTTGCTGATTTTTAATTGTTCTGTATAAAATACAGTCATCTGCGAACAAGCGTGTTTTTGATGTTACTGTTGCAGGAAGGTCATTTATGAAAATCAGGAAAAGAAGAGGTTCCAAGACTGAATCTTGAGGCACCCCACTGACCACAGGCATTTGACTAGATACCTCCCCATCAAGGACAACCTGTTGCGTTCTATTATTAAGGAAGGCTGATACCCAATTCCAGGTACTTCCCCTTATGCCATAATTATCCATCTTACTTAATATTTTTTTTGTGAGGTACATTTTCAAATGCCTTGGAGAAGTTTAATATTATAAGATCTGTGTTTATGCTGTTATGAAGATTACTGAGTAATTCATGACTTGATGTAAGAAGTTGTGTTCCACAGCTGCGTTTTGCTCTGAAGTCATGCTGATTGTACACTAGTACGTTATGTGTGTCCAGATGTTTTAGGATGTTTCTTACTACAATGTGTTCTAACAGTTTGCAGCATATACAAGCTAGGGAGACAGGCCTGTAGTTACTTGCTAGGTATTTTTCGCCTTTCTTAAAAATAGGAATTACATTTGCCTTTCTCAAGTCTGATGGTACATTTGCTTTCAAAAAAGATGTATTAAAAATGTAAGTGAGATATGGTGCAAACTCAGATGCAAATTGTTTTAGTATGCGTGCTGGTATTTCATCTGGACCTGTGGCTTTAGATGGATCAAGATTTTTTTAAAGTTTTTCTTTACCATTTGATGTTGCATGTATTTCTGACATAGATGGATAGTTGTCTGAAAGAGTTGGTATTTGTTCTTTGTCATTTTCAGGTGTAAAAACAGAGTGATATTGTTTATTTAGTATTTCGGCTTTTTGTTTTGTGTCATCTATCAGCATGCCCTCAGATCTTAACGGTGCAACTCCTGGACTGTCTTTTTTTGTGGATCTGATGTAATTCCAATTTTTTTTCTGCTTTTGTGAAGTTTCTTAGCTTTCGTCATAGCAAATGATGTTTTCTAAATATGTCCAGTAGGCTTTTCTCATCTCTTTCTGAAGTAAGTTTCTTTGTTTCCCTGTACTGTTTACTAATTTTATTGTGCGAGTCCGTTTTCATTTTTTTTAACAATTTGTTCCTTTTTCTAATAAGTGATTTTATCTCTTTATTAACCCATGGTAGTTTCTGTTTTGTATTATTTATCATTTTAGTTGGAATTGACTCTTCCATGGTTTTCAATACCATTGTTTTGAAATTAGCCCAAAGTTGATCCATTATAAGTTCTTCTATATTTGCAATATTGTCAAGATTTATGTTATTTATCTTTCCTTTATTTGCTTAGTATTTGCTTTGTTGTATAGAAATACTTTTCTAGGTGTTTTTTTTTTTTCGCTCTTCTAGGTTTTAAGTTGGATTCGATGTATACAATTTCGTGATCTGATATTCCAGGAATAACTTCAGTTTTATTAACTAGAGAGCTGTTATTAGTTAAAAAGAGATCAATTATGGACTGCGATATTTCTGTATAATGTGTTGGTGTTGTTACAACTTGTTCTAGATAGTTGTCTTGGCATATGTCTATTAATTGCTGACAATGTTTTGAATTGTACGCCTTTTGTTTTATGGAGTAATTATTCCAATCGATTCCAGCCAGATTAAAATCACCACCTAACCAAAGGTGACAATTTTCACTATGCCTTATTCTTGAGATAGGTTTTCCTAAGTGTGTTAAATAGTCCTCATCAGTTTTATTTGGTTTATAAAAACTACCTATGTATAAATCAGGTGACCTTATAATTTGTACCTTGATCCACAGTTGTTCACTAGTATCATCAGATTTTAAATCAGGTGGTTCTGAGCTGAGGTATTTGTCAGATATTGAACAGATATATCATGTTAAGGAGGGGTATTTGCCAAAAATACCAGTCGAAAGAATGTTAAATTTCGCTAGCCGTAAGGCGAGGGAAATTCATTCTCAAGACTGGTATTTTTCGCAAATACCCCTCAAGAACATGCTATATCTGTTTATAATTACACCTTATGTAAGAATCCTGGGTTTTGATTGGTTGATAGCCAGTGTATTTTTCACCAATTTACTTTTATCAAATGAATATCGTTCATTTTTAACAGCGCCGGGTTATATGCAAAAAGGATATGCCTTTCTTACCCTCTCTGCCGTGGTATTTGCCAAAAAATACTCTATCCGACTGGATGCTTGTAATGTCACGATCATCAATGCGTTGTATGTCACGATCATCAATGCGTTTTGTACGTTAACATTCGGGGTGATCGTGACATAAAACGCATTGATGATCGTGACATTACAAGCGTCAACTCGGATAGAGTATTTTTTGGCAAATACCACGGCAGAGAGGGTAAGAAAGGCATATCCTTTTTGCATATAACCCGGCGCTGTTAAAAATGAACG